TCCTTTCTAAATGGAGAGGGTGCACAACAATTCTTTGGTGGATGCTGCATGTGCTCTTTTTGTGCAAGTCAGTATCACAGCTGCAATTGCACTTGTGTCTTGAGCTGAACCTGGCACAGAGCCAGGTGTAAATGAAACGAATTAAACAAGTTAAAGGGCTCTGACCTTTCCAGAGACTTAAGCACAGTTTTGCAACCCGCTTCACATATCTCAGCATCCCGGTAAAATACGACTCCAAACCGGGGCATTCTGCAGCATACCTGGGATGGGGAAGTAAGAGAATACTTTTACCCCAAAGTGAAGAAACATCTGTTTTAATCTGCTGACTTTTTTCAGTTTTGTTAGAGGTTAGAATTATGTTCTAAGACCTAGACACCAAAGCTGGAATTTGGGCAGAAAGCAGGTGTTTTACTATCAACAAACAAACTGAGATGGGAAGTGATTATGAGGTCTTTTTGGTGCCTCTCTTGAAATGGTAGCAGCTGATTTGGAAACTTTGTCGATCTGTAGTTTGTTTTTCAGTATCTACAGAGGAGGAAAAATATCTCTATTGTTCCCTGTAAGGAAAATGTCAAAAATATCTGCAGCTGGCCACAGAGTCATACCATGCAGAGCAAAACCACTTTCAGTGAGGGTGTCTGAAGTAGATACTCAGGAATGCTACATTGACCAAACAGTAACAGTCTATCTATCTGACTATCCTTAAATTAAATCAGTATCAGCCATGTCAGCAAATGAATTTATTGTCATTATGTGTTATGCAGGGAAAAAAGACAAAAAGACAAAAAAGATTTTCCAGTGACTTTATCTGAATTTTTCCAGGATGGCATCATGATGGCAGACAGTTTAGGCAGCACATTTCTTATGAACGTTTATAATGTTTCTATGGCCTCCAAAGTTATCATCTAAAAGAAATCTGGGCCTTTCCGCATCCTTCAGATCTGTGATACATAATCTACCTCTGTATTGTCTTCTGTAAAGACTGCTCATTTCTAACTCTCTGGTGTCTCTACTGTTCTTCAGTGTCAGCTCCCTCTGACCATGCAATGCATTTTTCCTCTCAGAAAGTAAACACCATTATTCCTGGGATTGTGAACTGAAAATAAAAATGAGGCTTTCAGGTATTAATATTCATTCTGGCAATGTTTATCCACATGACCATATTCACAGCTTCTTTCAGCCAGCTGTCACTGCAGGCATTCTGAGCAGATGAAGTGTAGCCCATCCAGCTGAAGTAACCTCAGCACAGAAGCCCATAAAACAGCAGTTTAATCTTTGCTGGCCTCCACTGTCTCTTTTACTTTATGACCGTGATAGTGAGTGTTTCCACTCCATTTCAAGAAGGAAGCATCTAGCTCTTGTTCTTCAAAGCTCCGACAACAGCTTATCCATATGTACATTCAGTTGTCCTGATGCAAAGCAATTTGAACTCAGAGAGGCTTTGGGCAGCGTGTTCTGCCATACCAATCACGGTTACAGAAGTTCTGCATAAAGCCTGTTGTGAATTTACATGTGATTATTGATATGAGCGACATCATCTTTTGCTACTTTTACCACCTATTTTTTCAAGATAAAGCACTGGGGAAATATTCCAGGATATCTGCTAACTGGGGAGTACAATTCGAAGCCTCCCAGGACAGGAATTGTTTGTCTTTTAAAGTGAGGGATATTTGTAGCTGATCTCTTGCTTAAAGAACAGCAGCTCAACTTACGTCTAGTGAGGGATATACACCTGGATAAGCCTTGCCTGCCAGATGACACTTCCCAGTCTGGATTTAGGACGCTGTCTGTGGTTTCACTCCTAAGCTTTCGCTGAACTCTGCTGTGCTGCTCTGGCTTTCAACATCTAACCCTCTACATCAATCCTTATTAAAGGGAGTTTGTCTGTCAGTCAACCATATAAGATCTAAATCTTTTTGCTACAAAAGAATCTTGTTTTTTATTTGTTCTCTATTAGCATGAGCAGGTATCACCACTTAGTTTGCCGTGGGAGATTTTAACTTTACTTTTTGGACTATAAATAGGCAGTATTGTGAGTGCCAAAGATCATGTCTTGTTTCATTTTTATTTAAATAGCTTTCACAAAATTGTAGAAATAAAGATGCTCACTGGGTATCTCCTCCTTCCGAATTTTTCACTACCTTTTGGCCAAGACAACTAAGAGCCAGGCCCTGATGTATGCTGTTGCACTTGCATTAAAAGATTTGCATTTGGAACCAGAGCAAGTACACAAATACCATGTACAGAATGCTGTTATCAGATGTGGCATATGAAATACTGGGCACTGTTAGGTTTTAATCATGTACCACACAGGTTCATGTTTTAGGGCAAGCAACTCGATTCAGTAAGGCTCTTACCTGTGTGATTAAACTTATATTTATTCAGAAAATGTCTTAAATACATGCTTACATTTCACCAAGCAATGGGGTTGACATCTCCTTTCTCAAATTAGTGACTGATTGCTGAACGAGCCTTAGATAAAACAGTGGATAGTAACAAAGTATTTTCAAGTGTATTGCTGTCATAATCAAATTACAGATCACTCTGACAAGTGGTACCTCCTTTCAATGAGGTGTAGTAGAATCACAGAATCACAGAATAGTAGGGGTTGGAAGGGACCTCTGTGGGTCATCTAGTACAACCCTCCTGCCGAAGCAGGGTCACCTACAACAGGCTGCACAGGACCTTGTCCAGGCGGGTC